ATGTGAAACTAACATTTTTCGTATACATACATCGATTTTGATAAAATGCACCAGAAAAAAGCATCATCTATCGATCAGATTTATTTCCCTTGTAACTGTCGAATGATCGACCGTAGAGAGTTTTTATGATGTTAGCCTTTAATTTGCTTATTTTTACTTTGACTAAATGACTACACTGCCACGGTGTATTGTCCTGTTGAAATTGTACTTTGGTGTTCTTTGGAAGTTTTTCGATTGATTTTTTTCAATTCTTTTTCGAGTATGTCAGTATACAATCGACCATTTATGTTCTCTTGAAAAATTCGTGATAACGTTGTTTCATATCCTTTTAGCACATAAAACGTGTCTCCATTTTTCTTTCGTCTAGTTTTGATGATTCCAACACCACGTTACACGTTTTTTCCAATGCTTTTTGCTTAAAAACTGTTTTTTGACCTTCGCCTTATACTCGTAGCCCAATTTTTCTCAAGAACCGTCGTACTGTTCGTGTTGAAACTGAAGTTGGTAAAGAACTATTGAGATTAGTTGTAATATTCGAAGCATTGATACGACTTTTACCTTTCACCGAGCATTTCAAATATCTGATGTGCCAATCATTAAATTTCATCGGTCATCTTGGACATTTACGATATTTAAAGATTTGATTCGCATTATAACGCTTAATTGCATTAGTAATACAAGTTCTTGAAATTTCCAGTTGACGGGATATATTTGTTACATTGATCCTTGCCTCAAATAAGGCAACTGCCTGAGCATGTCTTGTTGGACTTACTACTTTTCTTCCCATGAACAACGTCAAAGAAGGATAAAATAAGATATCTTCCAGCTTTCTACGATCAATCATTCGACAGTTACAAGGAAAATACATCGTAAAATCAAGATTAAAAATATTTTTAAGTTTAAGAATGAAAATAAAATTTTAAATAACTTCTAAATGAAGAGTAAAACTCATTTTTCAAAAAAAAAAATTGGAGATTTTTTGCTTGCAATCTGCCAATAAAAATTTGTTTATCGATATCATTTCTTTTTTGTTCGATAAGTGAAGTGCATGACTCATGTAAGCAGTCAAGCACTTGGCTACTGTAGGGAAAAAAAATGACAAGATCAGAACCCTTACTGAAGTATATTCATGTGTAAGTACAGAAGAGAAAAGTTTGTCTTGAAACTAGTTTTATTTTAACCAGTTTTCAAGATTTTTAAGATTATATTTATTTACTTTCAGTGGTCAGTTAGAAAAGCTTTTTTTTTTACTCTTCTTCAACGCTATTAAGTTAAACTTGATGAACAAAGCGAGTTCGTTCATAGATAGAATCATCAATTGGCTTTCCTAATGATTTTATCTATGGGTTATAGCAACAAGAAAAAACGAAATAAACCTATGAAGAACATAACCTGATATCGCGATTCATTGAATATTTCTAGAAAATTTCCAAAAACTTCTTACAATTTGCAGAAAAAACAAAAGCAAAAATAGATTCATTCAAAGTTTAAATAGACTATATCAAATATGAAAAGACTTGATTGATAAATATAAACTCAATCCATACGAAAACAAATCGTATATTGTATCGTAATGTTGTCATTTGAAATATTCCAACGTTAAGAGAAAACATCAAATATGAATCATTACATAGAGGTAAAAATTATTTTTGCCTTTCTGTATCATTGTACATGATAATTTATTTTTCGTTACAATATTGATTCAAACTCATATGAATTTGTTGACAAGAGAGAATAAGAGAAATATAAGGATTACAAATAGGTCATTACGAACAGATGTATGACTAGTCACAGTTCAATAATTCCCTATATACCTGAATCTAACAACAGATAATCAAAATATATTAAAAAGAATAAAATCATATTTTCAAAAATACCTGCTCATACGAAAAGAGCTCGATGGTCGATATGAAACTTTTTGCAAAATCTAATTGCGAATAATTACTTGATATTAATAATAGATATAGTTTTTCCTTTTGTTTTGCACTTGATGCATGCAGTCATTTTAATAATGAATTACTTGTAAAGAAACGCTCTGAGACAGAATCATGCAAGTCATATGATGAGAACAAATTATCTCCTAGCTCTTCTACCTGCAAATGTTACTATTAATCTGTGTATTGTCTGTTATAAAAATCATCGAGCACTAGCATTCGTACCTTGTGGTCATTTCATTGTGTGCATACCATGTAGACATGGTTTAAAATTGTGTCCAACATGTGAATCAAACATTAAAGAATTATTATGAATTTACGATTAAATCGTACATTACACATATTTATTTGTTCGATATTTTTGAACGTTTACTTTTATTCTTTATTTGGATATTGGTATTTATATATATAGTATGATCTTTATACTATGATTTAATTGAATAAAAATGAATAAAGACAATATTCAGCTTACTTGGGTATGCATTTTTTGATTTAGATTAAATGAAATTTTATAAAAAGAATGTATAATCATAATAAGCTCAAAAATAATATTTTGAAATCATTATAGTTGATGTTAATAACAACTCAAATAATTTCATATAGAAAATCATTTTTCTATAAAAAAATTTTTTTTTATTCTAAACAAAAAATAGAGACACTAATAATATATTGTAAAAGAATATGGAAAGAATCTAAATTTAATCTATTCAATATTACTCATGAGCTGCATAAATTATGAATAATGTTCAACATTGATCTATACTATACTCAGTAGTTACTCAATATTCTTGTGTATTTTTGATCGCCTTAGCTCTCTAAATCCATTTGTCAATCAATGTTTTTTACCTCCCTCCCTGCCCTTTTTCTTTTATTAGATAAAATATCTTTTAAGATTAAAAAATTACATAAAAATTAATAATATCGTTTATATTGTACGAATAATTTTGATTATATCCGGAGTATATAATTATTATATATATATATATAAAGTGGTTTATTCTTCCTCTTGTAACTAACATAATGTAATGTTAGTGAATATGTTTCATCATCAATGAAAATTTTTCACCTAATTTCATTGAATTTCGAATAATAAATTGTATTTTATACAATCTATTAATCATGTTATTAAGGTGAATAGATAATGACATATACAGTTACAGGTTTTTCACATACTGGACATAAACGTTTGATTTGACCACATGATTCACATAAACAAAAATGACGACATGGTAATGCCACAAGTTTTTTCTCTTTAATTATACACCATGTACACTTACTAGAAACTATAAGAAAATAAAAACAGTTATATTCTTTATATTTATACTCAATATATTACCTTGTCGTGTTGATGATTGTGAATCAAATTCATTCAATTGTCGAATATAACGACATGAAGAAAAACGATGTAGAAGATTAAGATATGGATGAGATCGTTGATGGATATTCAAAGGAAATGCATAACGTTCACAATAGAAACATTTAATATTTCTACCATAATTTGTATAGTACCATCCAGATATTGCTAGTTGATGAGCATCAGTTGGACAACCACCAGGAAATCTTTCGAATGAGTGTTTTCTCTGGCATACTACAGACATGGATCCATATCTTGATTGAACAAGACCAGTATATGGTTGTGATTGAGCATTGATAATATCTTCATCTGTAAAAATTTCTTCGATTTTTTTTATCGGTACAGGATTTAAATTGAATGGATTTTGTGAAAGAACAAATAAACAATTTGGTGAAAGATATTTATGAATAATTAAAGGATTATCATTAGATTTCCAATTGTAATATTGTATATGACAATGAGGACATTTTGAATAATCATCTTTTTCAGATATGATAAAACCTCCTATAGTCATATCATATCGTGATGGTTTTATAGATGACCAATTTTTTAATGATCTTTCCCGTTCAATAGTTGTAATTAGTTGTTCAAAAAATTCGACAGCTAATTCTATATATTTCAAAAGAAAAATTTTATTTTTAATATTAAAAAACGAAAAAATATACTTTGTTGATTTGTTCTATATTCTTTAAGATCATTTTCAAATGATTGTAATATATCTATATTTAAATAAAAATTGAAGCTCAAATTTTTATCATTGAAAAAAAAAATTTTTTTTGTTACCAGTATATGATTGATTAGAATTATTACATAAACAAGGAATTGATGAATATTCATCATTAAAAGATCTTTGTTTATTCTCATAAAATTCTTTCAATGCAATATTCGGAATAATAATACTTTTCTTCTTTATATTAATAAGTTCATCGTGTTTTTTGAAAATTTCACATGCAATAAATAAATCACCACTGTCGATAAGATGATCATCTAAATCAATAAAAATATATTCTTAAGAAAAGACAACAAAATATTGTTATTTTATGTTTTTACGTCTGTATCGAAGTTGTTCTTTCAAGCAATTTTCAACAATTGATCGTTCAAATTTGTTTTTTTCTAAGAAGCGTTGCAAAATCGGTAAATCAAGAGAAGCAGCAACAAGTTGTAAGAGTGTTTCATCATCAAGTTCATTCAATCGATGATGATGATGATCATTTTTAAATTTACTGATCTCAACATCATCTAAATAAATAAAAATAATTATTCATTAATTAAATAAATTTCTATTATTGAAAAACTATATGTTATCATAGATACGTTTTAGTGCTTGTTGAATTTTATAATATAATTCTTTACCACATAATTGTCTAGCATAATTACAATATGGAAACAATCGTATATGTTCAGCAATTGGATGATTATTCGATTGCCAACTAATTAATGTACCATTACAATAGAAACATGTTATTTGAGAACCATTGTAGAAGAAACCTGCCTCAACTAGTTTGTCTATTGATGGAAATTCATTTTTCGACCAGTTAGAAAATGATGCTGAACGTTTTTCAGGATCTACATAATTAATATGACTTGGTGATTTTGATAGAAAATTGTTGTATTGTGATGAATTACAGTTATTAAATAAAGATTTAACAAATGTACAGTTCGATGAAAGTATTTGATGTACTTTACATGGATCATCTGTTTCAATATTCCATTGTTGACAAATAAGATTACAATAAATACAAATAACACGATCACCAATATTGCAAGCAAAAAATCCAGCTTCACACATTCGACGACGAAATGATATTGGATGAGGGCAAGAAGAAAATGACCGATAACGAATAGTTTTAATTTTATCTACTTCATATAAGATACATGTTTCTTCTTTGTTACATTGTTTTAATTGTCTTTCTATACACCAAAACAAAAAAAAAAGAAAAGAAAAGAAACGAAGAAAATGTATAGATTAGAAAAGAATATTTTGATAAAATTTATCATGTTTACCTAGAAAGAAATCGTTGTTAAGTGACGATTTTAAAGAAGTTGTAGCTTGAAAATTATTTAATGATAGCAATGTACGAACGAATATACAATGAGGACTTTGTTCTACATGTATAGTAAATGGATCCATATCATATGTCCATTGAGATACTTCTAATTCACATAAAATACAACGAGTTACATCTCCTCGACCATTATAAATAAAACCAGCTTCTAACATTTTATTTGAAGAATGTATACGTTCATTGATTGAATAGGGCATTAAGTATGATATTTTTCTTAGTAAATTATCTTGAAGTCGAAAAATCTAAAAATGACAAAATTCAAAAAGAATATAGTTATCAGTTTTATCTTAAAAAAAAACTTTAATAAATATTTTATTGTATTCAAAAAATACCAATCTTATGATTTATTTGTTTTTTCTTCGTTGTACAAAGAATTTCATCATATTTATTTGTGATTTCATATTGTTGTTTTTGCTCAGGTGAATCACTGAATCATATGATACGTAAAGCAAAAACATATTATTTACAACAAAAATACGAATACATTAAAAATAGAAATTTTTTGTTTAATTATAAAAATATTTAAAACTCAATATTACTTTCAAATATTTATTATCTTGAAATTATTCGAACAGTAAATATTAATTGGATGAAGTATTATTAATTTTTTGTCATCGTACACAGTCTTCCACAGACACCCTACAATACTTACTAAGGAAGTAGACAGAAGAAAAATAAAATGGTTGCTTTATCGACGCGTTATTTTGCTCTCCTTTCTATTTATATGATGATTGTTTTTCATGGAACAGCATTGACTCATGTATAGACGTCTAGCAACGTGGTGTCAAAGTAACATTTTGGTTTTTAGATTTATTAGTCATATAGATCAACAGATGGTGCTGAATTGCTGAAAATTTACTAATAGTTATTTCAAACAAGTATTAATTAATAACGTAATAATTTTTTTAAAACAAGCTTACAAAAAATAATTTACAGCTGCCAATGTTTTTTTTTCTACTCCTTTCATAATATTTAAATGATACAAACGATCAATATTCTCATTATTTGATGTCATGTTCAATGTGTCAACCAAATATTTAGATAATAATTTAAATTGATAAATAAATATATATCTAATCTACTAAGGTTTTGTTTAATCAACATTGCACATTTATTTGAAATTTTTGCATGTTATTCTGTATTTTATTTAGAATTATGTTTGATAACTAGTGCGAAATAATAATTGACAATTTTAGTATTCTGTTGATATCTTGTTCAAATTTTTGTCTACTGAACTAATACATTTTTTTCTACTCTTTAGAAATCAATGTATTTGAGCAATGAGATTATCTACAATTCGATCGAAAAATATTTTTATTCGTAAAGTACTTTGATTTTCATTATGATGCATTTACAAATCATTTTGGTATTTAATCCAATCTAAATCATTATTATTTAGAGAACACGAATAGACTTGACGGATATTAAACGTCTGATAAAGAAAAACAAGTTTGTTATGGTAGTGCTTTTGGGTCTGAAATGTAAAACTCACGTATTCCATATAAGCTAGCAGATAATTAAATATACATTTTTCTTTTAATGTAATGAAATATACTTTCAAGCTTTGATATAATATAGGTTCTTAAAATGTAATTATAAGACTAAATAGAACGTTGAATAGTTTATAATAAAGAATTCATTTTCTTTTTTATTAAATAACTAGTAGTACTATTGTTTTTATGATATGAAAAAAGAAAACAAAAAATACATGATAGCAGTCAAAATGAATGCTCTTCTCTTTGCCTGCTTCTCTATCTCTTCTTAAAAAACTTGAGTTACTTATTATTTTTGTTTGCATAATTATGAGCTGAGGTCTGTAATGCGGAAGAGATAGCCGCAAAACTTCGACCTAAAAAAAAAAGTGTTGACTGTTAGAGAGGAAGAAAAATCTATTAGTCCAGTTAATTATACTATTTTCAACAAAAATTCTAAAATCTTTATGTATTCAGCTACATTCGTTACTTTCTTAATACTATAATTTTATGAAG